TCTCTACCTTATCGATGTCTTCAATATTTTGGTTTCCATGACTATTACATCATGGCTTCAGATAAGATTCTTCCCTACAGGATCATACAACTTGTAACCAAACTCATCTTGCCCGTAGTCGATGAATATACATTGTTCTGACTTTGCATCGAACTTGGATCTTTCATCCTTTAGAATATACACAAAAGACTTACAGCCAAAAACTCTCAAATGACCATACTTGACATTTTTTCTAAACCAAATCTTGTCTGGAACTTCACTGTTCAATGCAACGGTAAGAGTGAGATTAAGAACATGCACCTCCGTGTAAAGTGCCCCACCCAAATAATTATTTGGCAACTTAGCTTCAGAGAGCATACACCTTACTCTCTCAATTAGTGTTAGATTCATCATCTTTGCTAAACCATTCAATTGAGGAATTTTAAAGGAGTTTTTTCATGTGCAATATTATAATGCTTGTAATAGGCATCAAATTATCCATAATACTCACCACCATTATCAGAACGAACATATTTTAACTTCCTGTATGTCTGCTTCTCTAGCAAAGCATGAAATTATTTGAACTTCTCCAACACTTGATCTTTTTGCTTCAAGGCATAAACTCATAGTTTCCTAGAACAATCATCAATAAAGGTAACAAAATAAAGTTCAAAACTAAAGGATTTTACCTTTAATGGACCACAAATATTAGAATGTACCAATTGAATCAACTTTGATTTCTTTGAGGGACGATTTCTCTTGAAAGATACTCTAGTCTGTTTACCAGTCATGCAATTAGAACACTTCTCCAAATATGAATTCTTTAACCCAGTAAGAACATCCTTTTTGGCCAAAACATTCAGCCCCTTCTCACTGATATGATTAAGTCTTCGGTGCCACAAATATGATTCCATGTTGATAGAATTAACATTGTCCCTAGAAACTAAAGTTTTTGTCCAATAAAGTTTAGAAAGCTTTTCCCCTCTAGCCACGACCAAATTACCTTTTTTGAGTTTCCACTTTCTAGAACCAAAGTGATTGTCATGACCACAATCATCAAGCATATGCACAAATATCAAATTAAAGTGGACATCTGAAACATGTTTGACATCTCTAAGCAACAATTGCATTCTCATGTTGGTTTGTAAGCAAACATCACCAACACTAGTTACATAGATACACCATCATTAGCCATCTTTAACACTCCAAAGTCACCAGAAGGATAAGATGTGAAGAAATCCTGCCTTGGTGTAACATGCAATGTAGCACCACTGTCAACTATCTACATGTTCTCGTCTGATACGATATTAACAGACTCATGATCACGTAGAATAACAAGATAATTACAAGTAGAAATAGTAATACAATCATCATCAAGATCATCATTATCTCTTTATTTAGACTTACCTTTATTTTCTTTGTTATCCCTTTTCCACTGATAATAATACTTATGTATGTGTCATGTTTTGTGACAATAATGACACTCCAGATTCTTGTATCGTGGCCTAGACTTGCTTTTGATATTCTCTCTACCACCCTCCAGTTCCTCTTTCTGGCTTCTTCCCTTATTTTCAGTGACAAGTACCTCATATTTAGATGAAGAACATTGTGCCTTTCTTCTCATCTCATCATTAAGAATATCACCCTTAGTCGTTTCCAAAGAAACAACACCTCTAGGAGCAGAACTTGTGATAGAAACCGAAACGTCTCCCAAGACTCTGGTAAAGATAGAAATAGAAATAGTCTCAAAAGTTCATCATCAAATTGAATACTCATTTCTGACATTTGATCAAGGAGTCCTTGAAATTCAATCAAGTGATCTGAAATATAAGTCTTCTTCTTATACTTCAAACTTATGAAGCTATTCAACAAAAAATATATTACTCCTGGATTTAGAGGCATATAAGAACTCTATCTTCTACCATAAAGTTTTTGCATGTGCCTCATTAGTAATATGATTATAAACATTATCTTCTACATATTGTCGAATAAAACCACATACATGTTGATGTTCAAACTTTCATTCTTCATCAAACACAGAATTCGACTTTGCGAAACTAAAAACCGGTAAATGCAATTTCTTCACAAATAGTAAGTCTTTCACTTTTCCTTCCATAAATGGTAATTAGAATCACTCAACAATATCATCTTCATCTTTGTATTTGACTTAATCATTCAAACAAGTAAAATAGCCCTTAACCAAGAGATCTCATGCCACTCTGATGGAAAATTAAGACAAAATAACAAAACAATATACAGCAGATATAAAATTTCCACACTTGTAGAAACCTTGAGGATCAACAACAAATATAAAATGGGAAACCGAACAAATAAAGGCACAAAAGAACACCTATATTTTTATCGTGAAAACCCCACCGATATAAGAGTAAAAACCACGAGTCGTTCAGACCAAAGAAATAGCTCCACTATAATCAATTTGAGGTTACAAGAGAGTCTTAAAGTGATTTACAAAATAGTGATAACAATTGTAAATCATAAAGCAAACTAGCTTACAAATGAAAATTAAAAGCTGAAAAATTACCCAAATTTGCAGCTTCTGTGTGAAGCAATTATCTCTCATCTCACACTTCATTTTGAAGATTCCAACAGTCAAAAATTATATGTAGGTGTTACGAACATAACCACCAAATTACAGCTCAATCTGATGGCTAATGAATCAGAAATCATCGATTTAATGAGACTGATGCAAAAAAAAAAAAAAAAAGAATGAGTTTCTCTTTTTTTTTTCTCTCTTTTAAATCTTTATTTTCTCTTTATTTCTCTTAACCCTAAATTGACATTCTCTCAATTAAATAAGTAAGATAAATAAATCATTCATATTTAAATTTTTCTCTACATATGAAGAGGAGCTCAAACGTAACATGTGAACACATTAGTCTTAAAATATAAATTTTTAAATTAATATTCATATTTGTAAAATCACGTAAAAATCAAAACAAAATAATTAAATACATTTAAAAATACAACTCTAAAATATTAATTTACTTTATAAAAGTACAAGAAAAACAGATATGTTCGATGCATCAGATTTATTGAAGAACCTCTAATTGATAATATGAATTGATTTAGATTTTATGAACAAACTCCATTATTTTTAATTGACAAGATTGGTGCATGATTCTTTAGTCCCCACGAGGGCAATACAACATTTACCAATTTGAAATAATTGAAGGGTAATTTGGTATTTATGATCCATAGATCTTGGACCCCAAATCCACCTCATAGAAGATCATAAGAACATGATCAAATTCAAAGCCATGTGTGTTTGTATCATGGTACAATACAACCAGGCTAGCTAAAGTAAATCTTCATATATCTCTCATTAATTATAATTTTTTGAAATATTTTATTGAAACTTTTCATTATTCATAGTACAAATATATTTAAAAAAATCACTGAAAACAAAGTTTAAAGTAACAAAATATATTGGCCCATCATAGCTATATATAAAATTGGCTGATGAAGACAAAAATAGACTGTGTACTGAGAAATGGAATTTATTTAATTAATATTATTTGTGACAAAAAAGATTTAATTTATGGTAAGTGAATATTGTACACACAATTTTGTTAAATGGTTCATAAAGAAAATTTTTATTGTCACCGACAATGTATTTCTGGACTGAGAGCATGTGGAATTTAATGAGTTTGTCTAAACCTTCCCCATAAAATCATTGCCTGAAATTTTAAGTAACCCTACTGTTGAATATTTCTATATATTATTAGACATTGCAAATGCAAAATCTAAATACCACGTCTTATTGAATGACACGTGTCAATGTATATACTTTGCTCTAGAAATTCTTTGCTTTAGAATGTGGAAACTTTCTTAGAAAGAAATTATATCATTAGGGGAAGGTGTTACTCGTTTCTTCAACCTTAGGATTGAACAAAAATTAAGAGTTAATATTTATATATATAAGGTTCAAAATGAGTCGAATCGAAGTTATCTAAATTCAATTTATTAAAAATCAGTTCAATTTAATACTTGGTACAAATTTGTGTTGAATTTTTTCTTTTATATTTCAACTCAATTTATTATAAGTTTATGAACAATACAATTCAATTCACTATCATTAGATTTATCTCGTTAAATTCATTTAGTTTGTTTTATAAATTTAAAAATTATTTATTTAAAAATTATTTATTTTTATATATTTAATATTTTAAATTAATAATAAAATATTTAGATAAAATAAAAAATTTAGATTGAAATTTAACCTTTTTTTTAAAATTTACTAATTAAATACTACACAACTTTCAAAAAATATATTTGAAAGTTTAATTTAAAAATTATTTAATTAAAGTTTAAAATTTATCTAAAAATCCACAACAAAATTTAGAAGATATTTTTTAAATAAAAAATATATATTAATTTTTAAATAAAAAACATGATTTATATATTTGTATAATTATTTTTAAAAATATTTTACTTACTTGAGAATATAAATAATCAATCAAAATTGTTATATTAAAAAAAATATAAGATTAAAATTTAGAATAAATCTTTAAACCTATTCTTAGAACTAATATAACTCTTCTCATGTATAATGGAGTTTATCATGAATCTAAGGACTCCAATAATGTAAGTTCAACTCATTTAATTAACGAAATTAATTTTTTACTCGTATCCAACTCATTTAATTTATAAAATTAATCAAAGATTAATTATCGAAACAAGTTTTAAATTATATTCGAGTTAGTTCGATTTATTGTCATTCTCAATATTATAAAAAATATTAATGTTAATTTCAAGACTAATAACAAACTTTAAATTCTTAGAATTTAGTGTTTTTTTTAAGTAAACACTTATTATAAATATTAAAAACTCACATTTATAATTGGGAGTACAAAGTTCAAACTCTATTAACGTTTAATCAAATAAAATTTATTTTTATATTGTGAACAAATTGTGTTTTTTAGTCGATAGAATTTCATTATTTATAAATATAGGAACAATATTATTTTCTTTTATGTGGAAGATGTATGAGCATTCATATTATGAGTCGGGCATGTCATCATCATGATGGTCTAGTTCGAATTACTCTTGGAACAGGAGAGGTCGAAAGTTACATTGTAGATATTGTAAAACCATCTGCAATAGACTTTGATAACCTTGATGCAAATGAGGGAATTGTTTTGGATGCAAGGTTGTTAGAGTGAGTCTTCACAACACTTATATTCACTGTTAAGAGCATACCTCTCAAATGTCGTCTTGCTTTTTCTCATGCATTGTAAGATGCACTCCTCAAGGTGGTTGGTGAGTCGGGATCTGTAGGAGTTTGGTTTCGATTCTTCCTTATTCCTCGTTGCACTTTACAGGTAGTCAAGTCTCATAATAGATGGGATTGTAGATCTATGAATCAGAAGGTCTTGCAATAATATCACATTTTGGAGTGTTTAACTACTTTGAGGGATGCATATGGTCTTGCCAAGTTATTTGACATTGTGTTGGATAACTCTGTGCAAGAGAAATTGGGCCATGAGGGAGTTCATATTAACAAGGGAGATGCAAATGTGAGATCCAACGTCAAACAATGCCTTTGTAAGGTTGCATATGGTTATTTCACAACATCTGTGAAGGTGTTGGGTTCATCTGGTGTAGCCCCTATAATGCATGCACATACTATGAAGGCTTTAGAGGCTAAACACCCATACAAACCACCTCCCTCCATGGCAACCACATTGTTCTCCGAAGCTCCTCTAGTGGTTGAAGTTTATATAGTTTTAAGGTGCATTAAGTCATTCCCCAAAGGGACTTCATGTGGTAGAGATGGTTTACAAGCTCAATATTTATTGGACACAATGGAGAAGGTTCTGCTATGTCTAGATATCTCTTAAGTGAAATCACTCAAGTTATTAACTTATGGTTGGGAGGGAGATGCTCAAGGAGTTTGGCAGAGTTTGTTGCCCCAACACCTTTGACGCTGTTATTGAAGCATGATGGTGGGATACGACCAATTATTGCAGGTTTTATTTAGATGCGGTTGGTATCCAAGGTTGCGATGAAAGGGTTCGATAAGGATATGGCACGATATCACAATGACTCTAATTTGGGGTCGGGGTATCGGGCAGTGTTGAGGTTATTTTGCATAGTGTCAATAGAGTGTTGAGCAAGCGACATGAAGATGGCTCTTTGACTATGCTCACGGTAGATTTCACTAATGTTTTTAATTTTGTAGATCGATCAGCCATTTTGCGATAGGAGAGGGTGATATGCCCATTTATTTTCTTGTGGGTTGAGTTTCTCTATGGTCACGCAACAAGGTTATACCTCGGGGATATGCATATCTTGTCCACCACTAGAGTGCAACAAGGAGATCCATTAGGGGCACTCTTTTTTGCCTTTGTGTTACACCCACTTATTCATCAGATCAATGACAACTATAAGCTTTTTCTTCATGTCTGGTACCTCGATGATGGGACCACCATAGAAGATTCTAAGGAGGTGGCTACAGCCATTGACATTATTTGAGAGACCGTTCTAGGATTAGGTCTCATATTGAATATTCATAAAACTGAGATCTTTTGGCCTTCATGTGATGATAGTAAACTTTGTGGGGATTTGTTTCCTTTAGGCATTAGGAGGCTGATGTTATGGATGAAGTTGCTTGGAGGGGTTGTTAGTTGAGATAAAGGCTTTATCAAGGGGTTGTCCATGAAGAGAGAAGACATGGTTCTTGACCTCGTGCATCTCCCGCCACAACTAAGGAATCCTCAGAGTGAGCTTCTTTTACTTCGACCTTGCATGGATATCGCCAAATTCTTTTTTGGTCTTAGAATTTGTCAACCTAATTATATGGAGAAAATAACTATTTGGTTTAATAAAGAGTTGTGAAGGGCGGTTAAAGACATCGTTGCTGGTGGAGATTCTTTTTTTGGGGACCTTTAATGGAGGGTGACTTCTTTACCTATTAGAGTTGAAGGATTAGGTTTGTAATCAGCAGTTGAGGCAGCCTCATATGCATTTGTGGATTCTAGGGCTCAGTCTTGGGTGTTACAAGATCATATATTTAGAGATTGTGGGGTATACGATATGGACCTTGATTTTGATAAAGCTTTAGATGGTGTTAGTATCGAGATTCCAGATTTTGACCTTAGTGGATTTACTAGAAAGGACATTGTCCCTCCTAAAGCACAAAATATTTTGGCGAGTGCCCTTTTTAGTAAAAGTGTTCAGGACATAGAAGTAAAGTTTTATATGACCACAAGATATGAAGTTGTTTTTGTTTGTTTGCAAGCATCACATGCTCAAGATTTTCTCCCTATTATTCCTATTGACGGTCTAGGCCAACATATGTCCCTAGTAGAGTATCGTATCATCCTTAAATACCGACTTATGATTTCCCTATTTATCGTTGATGAGGTTTGCCCTATTTGCTACAAGGCATGCTTGGATATATTTGGGGAACACGCTATTCATTGCAAAGAGCTTCCAGGATTCAAATACTGACATGAATTTGTTAGGGATGTCCTATTTGATATATTTAGGCGTGTAGGGGTATCTGTGAAGAAATAGGCGTCTGAATTTTATTGACCCACATGAGGGGAGGTCGACTTTAGGACAACATATGTTCTGGTGTATGGATGGATAGGAGGGAAACATGCATGTGTATATTTGACTGAAGGTTCCCCACTAGTGGGACTAAGGACTAGAGGTTCCCCACTGGTGGAACTGAGGATTTGAGGTTTTACTCTGGGACCATGCAGCTCTCAAAACCGCTTCAAGTAAAGTGGGCAAACATGAGAAAACATGTTTCGACAATCAACATATTTTTATACCATTTATCTTTGACACTTTTGATTTTCTAGCACGTGAATCTTTTACTGAGAGTGAAAATATTCATGCATAACAATTTTGTGTCACTTAGGACAATGAATATGATTTTTAAGAAAATTGGTTTTGTTATCCAAAAAAGAATAACAATGCAACTTATTGTTCATTTCTCTATTATTTTGTATAATCATGATTTTAACTTTATATATATATATATATATATATATATATATATATATATATATATATATATATATATATATATATATATATATATATATATATATATATATATATATATATATATATATATATATATATATATATATATATATATATATATATATATATATATATATATATATAATATGAGAGAAGAATTTAATAATTGAAGGGAGATGTGTTGTGTTTTGAGGGTGCGATAAAAATAATTAATTATAATATTAGATGATTGAATGAGACAATGAAAAGGAAGAAAATTTTAAGTTTATTTTTTTTTAAAAGTCAAATACTTAGGATATTTAAAAGACAAAATTAAAGGTGGTGGAGGAGTTATTAGGGGTGGTGTTGTGGAGTGATTTGGAGATTAGTTTTTCTTAACAGCCTTTGATCTCTTTGATCAGAGCATCCGACAAATATCATTTTATGGGATTCTAATTTGTGTAGGAGGTAGTGGTTCAAACCCTGCCAAGGCCAAATTTAAATCAATAGTTTTAAATAAAATTAAAAAAAAATGGTGGAGGTAATATTTTCGATAAACTTAGACTTTATGGTAATTGTGAGGAGGTTTTCCAAAATGTTGAATAGTTGTTTTATGTGACTAAGGTATATACTCTGAAACGAATAGTAAGTATTAGAATTAGAGTTTGGCATAACTCTTTCATATAAAAATCAATTTGGAAGTTGAGAGATATTCTTGTATATAAACTCTTCAAAATTTATATGTTTAATTAATATGGGGTTTGAGATTTTCTCAATAATAAGTGAAGTAATTAATTCGTATTCTGAGTAGTGGTGTGTGTAGAAATTTTAACTCAGTTTGTATGGAGGAAGTGAGAAAAGGTAGAAGTAGTTTGGTGAGATTAAGGATATTAGAAAGAGTTGTGTGTTGTTGCCAAATTGCATGCAATATGTATTGATTTAGGATTTGTGGGATCATTTCTCTAATTATTTATCCATGTATGAATTTTAATGTTGGTCCTAAATATTCTCCCGTGTTAAATTATTGGTAAGATATGTGCATAGTTATAAAGAGTTTGTCATTGAGAAATGGAGATCGTTTAATGCATCTAGATGAGATGAGTTCGGTCTGAAGGAGAAATTCAATTTTTTAAAAGAAATTGAAATTATAGTGCACATATAACTAATGTTTTAACACATGTCGAGACATTGATATCTGTAAAACAATGGTTGGAGAAAGCATACTGATAAAATACTTATCAGAACAAAGTCTTGATAGATGTTTCAACATCTATTACAACATGTCAATCAATCAAGAAAATGCTGAACTGCAAATTTGCATAATGATAATAACACAAAGATATGATGATCCAGTTTGGTATACACCAACATATATTCTAGAGGCTACCAAGCCAGGATGAACAACTTCCGTTTTATCTAACCACTATCCAATACAATATTTATCTCGGAATCCCATCTAAGATAAGAGAAACTCATCTTACTCTCTAAATCACCTCAGTGATATCTAACAGTCACAACTTCTGGTGACTGTATCAAACTACTTGAAAGACACCCCTTTCATTATAAAGTTCAGCCAAGACTCTTGACTAACAAACATACATGGATTTGATTCAAAACTTTATCCAAGAACAATATACAACTCATTACCTAAAGGCTTCTGAATCTGCATATAAAATATGTCTACCACAATGTATCAAATCGATACAAAGGGTGACTTATAACACAAGAAAGTACACGACTCTCAAAACACTAAACCCTTGTATAAAATTACATTGTTAGTTTCGTGACAGTATTAGGGTTGAAGCCTTCTTTTTATAACCTTGAAAATACTGGATTTTGGCTACAAAACCGCAACTGATCTATTGCAGAATATCAGAAGAACCTTCTCCATAAAGATAGGGCTTCAAAGATTTGTTTCCAAAAATTATCTCAACAAATCAATCTTCTATTATCCAGAAGATATCTCTTCTTCTTCAATCTTGGACACCACATTGGACTACTTAATATTCCCAAAATATTCAGTAGTTAAAAAACAATTGTATCCAAACCGTAAAATAACTATAACAGACTAGATGTCTTATACTGATGGTTAGGACATCGCATTCGACATGTTGAAACAGTAAGTTGAAACATTTTGTTAAGCATATTTCTATCAAGTTAGTTTTTCCAAAATTGTGCCAACAAAAACATAGAAATAACAATCTTCCCCTTTGAAAAATTTGGCTAAAACTAACTAAACACCCCTTGCACATATCACACCATAATCACAGGTTTGAAATAGTTCAAACACACAAATATCAGAGTTGTAACAACAGAAATTAATACAACAGAGATATGAGCAGCAAAAACAAAATCAATAATTGACTAAAAGAAAGTTGATTCTTTAACATGACTTCAACATGTCAGGACATCATGTCTGACATCTCTTCACAGCAGTTGAATTTTGAACCACACATAAATTAGAAGATTCTCCCCCTTAACATCAACATCGTATCCAATAGTAGAAACATAGATCCAATAGAGTCCAGGTTCACCCCCTTTTCGCATAAACACTGAGGAGGAAAACATAACACCAAATGGTGTACATGAGGAAGAAGATGGCTGACACTCCCCCTTAGGTGGCATAAGAAAACCATTAAGAACCATCCAAACACGAAGCTCAACAATAGAGATGATGACTCATGGGTGCAGGTTTTAGCCCCAGATAACTCAGAACACAAGACACAATTTATCTCTATGGGGAAGGTTTGTGTTAAGGAGACTATTTATCTCTATTTTGTTCTTCATTTCAGCATAAGGTTTGAATGTTATGCTAAAGGCATTGATTAATGGAGGTTTATTCAAGGTTTTTTGTGTAGGTAAAAATTTGGATTTTTCAGGTTAGAGTATCTCATCTACGATTTTCATATGACACGTTGTTAATCGGTAAGAAGAGTTGGGTAACCATTAGAGTTATGAAGGAAAATATGACCATTTTAAAACTTATTTTTGGCTTGAAAATTAATTTTTACAGAAGTTTATCGGTTGGTATCAATGTGGTCGAATCTTGGTTGATGGATGCAACACTTACTCTCAATTTCAAAGTTGATTTAATTGTTGATCAAGTGACTCCAAACAAAAAGGGAGTGAATTTTGTTATTTAGAAATCAAGAAAAAATTTAAAATTTGTTTATTAAAAATTTGGTTTATATTATTCCAAAAGAGATAAAGCAATAGATAAGGGAGAAGAAAGAATTAGACAGGAAAGGAAATAAATGACATAAATGTAAAGACATGGAGTTAGATATATAACACCAATGAATTATACAAGTTTGTCCTACCACTTGACCTACTTTTAAACCCAAGAGTTTCATCTTGATATTTCCATTAAAATATCTCTTGAGCTTTTTATAGGATACGCCCACGAACCTTCTTACAACAAATGGGAGATTTTACACAGGCTGATCTCCAAACCAAACAGAATTTTTAACAGGTTAATCTTACGAACCAAACTGAGA